GTATGATACGCTCCTCTGGTCATACCTCAAACCCTGACCCCTAAAAATTATTGTTTTCTATCACCGTCCCCAAACCCTGAAACCTCACGTCAACCACATACACTCTAGTGCGGGTTTTCGATCTTAAGCGCCTTTTAGCGAATCACCTAAACCCAAATACTGTATTAGCCTAAATCAACCTGCTGGTGATATTTGGTACTGCACACATCCCACTTGTTTTTAATTTTGACTGCAACTCTGGAACACAATGGCCTAGTAACCTCAGAACCAACATCGACGCTGCCATTTTCAGGGCCCCTAAATATTCTGAATGTGCTTCCGTGGCTCTACGGCCCTTTGTTCACATAAAATGGAGGACAAATTGAAGTTTTGACCACTTCTATCACACTGTTTGAACGTTAAGCTCCACCCACCTTTATTTAGTCCAACCCTGATCTTATCTGAGACTTAGGATGTGTTTGTGTGGGACCGTGTGTGTAATTATCATGCGTTGACATACCTATATTATCACGTGTAGGTGTGTCGTGCGTGGTTACAGTATTGTGTGACAAAGCACTGTCGTGCAGCAACATATTAGCAAAGGTCATGTAGCTATGGCTCGTATGTATGTATTTGTCTGTCAGCGAATATGCAAATTTATTTTATAGCTAGAAGCGCTGTCGCATGACTGGGTGCATTGCACAGGTGCACGCGCGTTTGTGTTGTCTGAGCATTCGAATTTACGGCGGTGCTCCTTTCAGCGAACCGTCACACTTGTGCGTTTTGCATTTACAATGAGATTTTGGTGGCCCCTTTTGCAGCACTTGTTTTAAAAGACCAGAGTGGCAAGAGATGAAGAATCAGTGACAAGTCTCCACAAACTGCCGTGGCCTTACATGAGAACTTCATTGTAACCGCTTGCATAATTTAATTCCAGACCAGTATATGCTGGGAAATGGCCAATCGGTGTCTCACATCAATCTGCATGTGTTTGTTGAAAGAAAGTGTCGATTATCTCCTCTGTTCATCCTTCTCTTCTTGCCTTATCTGGCCTCTTCTCCTTTCACTTCACACAAACAGTGTGTGTGTGTGTGTGTGTGTGTGTGTGTGTGTGTGTGTG